TAATCTATAAAAGTGAATGGGAAATTTTATTTTAAATTTAGTTAAATGTTATTAATTAAATAAACACTCCATTTGATTGAAATTCTGTGCAGAAAAGCTGGAAAGTATGTAATACAAATAAAAAAATACACAGGATATTGCTGGAAAGTTTGACACATACAAAATCTTTTGCAACATCCAGACATACGAACGAACAAAAAAAAATGTAAAGAGGAACGTCCACTTTTTCCATTCTTCATTCACGTTTTTTTTAGAATAAAAAGTAATTATTTTAAATAAATCTAATTAATTAACTTTGATTATTTGAAATATATTTTTTTTAATAGATTTTTAACTCCAAAAAATGTCTATCGGTTGCATACTTTTTTACTATTGTATATCATTGTTAAGAGGTAGAACATCCTGGAATTTATTGCATTTATCTCCTTCTGTTATAAATTTAATTAAAAGTTTTGAATTTTTATATAATATTTAACTTATTTTTATGTTAATTTTACATTTGTTCTTATATTTAAATAAAGGAAGTTCGTATATATATATATATATAAAGAAAATAAAAAATTAGGAATTGTAATTAAAAAATTAAATGCAGGTGATATTTATATATTGTTTTTTTAAGTTACAAAAGTCCCTATCGGTTGATGATTATCTAGAAACGAAGAGGTTCTTCTTAAGGGGGTGAATTATAAACTAACGGGAGTTGAACAGGTGAAGTTAAAGAAGGACGTTCTCCAGATGTCAGCAGGTACGACAGGTGAGTTTACATCTCACCTGTCTACTCTTAATCACGTTGTTGTACAGGTATAGATAGGGATTTAGAGAGGGGAGGGTAAATCATCGTGATTTCAAGACACGTTTTAGTATTTACCCGAATCACTTTCGCAAGTTAAACAGAGAAGCTTACTTTCTGGTTGAATTTTCTTTTTATTTTACAAAGAATCCTGACTTTTATTAATTATAACTAAGAAATAAAAGTATAATTAAAGATTTTATAAAGTTTTTAAATTATATTTTTATAGATTTTATTCATAAAACAAACAATATTTTAACTGTAAATCGAATATAAAAACGAGTCGAATTTTTAATGATTTTAATAAAATTATTAAATTAAATTTTTAAATTTTACTAATTTTATAAAATCTTAACGAAAAATTACCCTTTAAAGTAGGCATATGATAAATTATAAAACTAATTTAAATGTGCCATAAAAGTTTCGTAATGTTTTCGAACATAAGCTGCAGATGTTTAAAATTGAAAAAAGTTTATTCGTATTTAATATATTTTATATGAATAACAAACAGAGAAAAATCATAAAATGCAGGATGTGTGAAGTTTTAAAATTAACATACGTCATTAAACAGTAGCATATTATTTTAGGGTATAATATCAATCATTTATAACATTTCAAATTTATGAAATTTAATGACTTTAGAAGTCGTATAAATTATTCGTTGGGTGCAATGAGCTGTTGTATACTGTACGAATTAACAAATAAACTTCGAAAATTACGTCATTTAATGACGAAAATGTGTTAATTTAATGAGCAATCTTGCTAAAGTTAAACTTATTAAAAACATAATTGCTTTTAAAAGGTTTAAAACTTTCTATTTTGACCTTCTTTTCTTTCTACTACTTTAATATATTATAAATATAACTTTTTCTTAGTTTTTACATACTTTTTTATCTATTAAAATATATAATTTTTACAGCTTTCTCTCACCTATAACTTATTATCATTAAATTGAATCCTTTCTTAAACCACCTCGCTATTTCCTTTAAATAAGACTTCTCATAACTCTCCTACCTATAGGAAAGACTACATAATCTCTTATAATCCTATGTAACATCTCTATTAAGCCCACCTCTTGTAATTATTTCTCGTAGCTTTCTGTATCTTCTCATAAACCCACCTATAACTATGACTTATCATAGCCCTCTGCATCCTCTCCTACTCCTCTAAAATCTCCTATTTAGCTCATCTCCAAGCTATGACTCCTCATATCCTTTCAATAGCTTTCTATTTGATTTAAATGCCTAAAAATCTTCCCGTTATTTAAAAAAAATAATTAAAAAAATTATTTTGACACAACGGAAATGAAACAATTAATATTGTTCTTACAAAACCCTGAAGATTAAAAAATAAAATAATAATAAATGATTTACTTACGTTAATAAATTAAAATCAATATAATCACGGATAAAATCGAACTTACTTGTTCTCAGGCTTCATATATAAAACATTATAGATGAGGGTGTATATGCATTTTATCACTATATAAATTTCATTTCATTTGTAGTCGATCACGTGGTACATATATTGCAGACCTCATCTCCGCTTGTTCTCTTCACAACCCAGGCGGTCTTTCATATAGTAAACAATGAATTTTGTTATATATTTGTATATATATATAGGTGTGTATGTGTGTATATAGCAAACACCTGCCAACTTTCGTTCCACGTCGACTTTCGACCTTATAAATATATATATATATATATATTTATCTGTAATTATTAAATATATAAAACCATGAGATGTGAGTAAGAGATAATTCTCTATTGATTCACTCCAACATCATTTTACTACTCTAGAATTGTTGATTAATTCTAGATCTAAAGCTTTATAATGTATAGTCTGTGAGGTTGCATAAGCTTTATTACTTGCATTTTTAGGTTAATAAGTCTATAGACTGTAAGCTTATAGATTAAATATTCATATATAACCATTCTAGAATTAATTAGGATGCTAAAAAATCTATAAATTATATGTATTAGAGACTAAAGAAAGTTTTATTTCGTGTGCAAGTTTGTTGCAGTTTTATAGAAAATTGCAGCATCATAAGCTTCTATATACATTTAGAATGTAAATGTATGTTTTTTTTAATATAGATATACCTTAATTATGTTTCAGTACGGGGGTCTGTCTGTCCTTGAAAAGATTTTATTTACGAAACATTTGACAATGGGACAGTTCGAAGGATACGCGATAATTTTATAACGATGTATGTGTGTAGTAAACAGCTTATTAATGTAATTGGTGGACCGCAAAATCCTACACGAGATTAAAGCTGTTATTTCTCATTAAGAATCTCAGTTGTTGGTCTACTGTTATTATTCACAATAGCGCGGTGCGTGCGAAAAGCGAAAGAAAATGATCGAATCGAAAAATTGCTTCATGTCGTTGAAAAAATATTTAGAAGAAAGAAAATTTCCAATAGAATCCAAGTCTGGAGCAGATGAAAATGTAAGAGGTCGAGTTAGAGGGCACCGATAGATAACACCTTGTGATGTCACACCGGAAAGTGGAACGTCATGCACCGCGGGTGGACTTCCGCTCCCAGATGAGAAGAAGTTCACAGAACCCGGATCGGATGAGATTTTTTTTATTATTATTAAGCCACTTATCTAACTATTCTTCCTTAGTTAGGTGTTAAAGAGATCAGATTTGTAAAAAGTCCCATAGAAAAATTATAATTAACGAAACAACGAGATGTTAAACAGTAAGAGAGAGAGCATACATTAAGATCTTAGATACTAAAAAAGTTCTCACACGAACTTTTCTTGTAAATTTTGTCTATTTTAATACAATTGTAATGTAATAGACACAAAAGATCTCCATTTTTCATTGTTAAAAGTCAAGATTTTTGTGTATATTTCAACACAGCTTTAGTGTAAGAGAAGCAAAACATATTTTTGTGTCTATTACACTTCAGCTGTGTTTTAATATACACAAAAATATCTTCTATTTCATTACAGCTGTAGTGAAATAGATAGAAAATGTTTTCTATTTAATTTCTGCGGAGTTAAAGGGATAAAATTTGATAAAATAACTTAAATTGGATAAAACATAAGACGTAACTTTAATAATTTTTTTAATATTATATTAAACCGGCATTCTAAAGTCTTTAAAACACTTCCCTCCCTTTCTTAAGTGTACAAAAAAAAGGAGTTAAATTAAAGGTTTTCTTGAATTTTTTTTTAAATTTTATTGTATGATTCGTTAATGATAAAAAATTCCTATTAAATTAACTCAAAAAACTAAACACAATAGCATTTATTCCATCTGAAAAATACCTCATAATACACAATCACTATTACATGACGTATCAGTATAATTTCAAATTCAACGGCAATTTTGTTGCGTCACAATTCAACATTAATGACGATTTCATCAATTTGAATTTTATTTTATTTTATTTTATTTTACTTTATTTTTCTGTTTTCATTTAATCACCTTCTCCGCGGGATCAGCATATAATAAGCAATGCAATGACAAAATCCAGTTTCACGCTTCGTTACCCGTTTCGTAATTTAAAATAATGGCGAAATAAATGCCACGCGTATACTTTTATCATAAACGTTTAATTTTATATTTATTTATTTATTTAAAAAATAAAAAAAACCCTTAAAATTTAGCTTAATTCATACCCGGTTTGGAGCTTCGTGGCATAACTCGGGGAAGATGCTAGGAAGTTGGATTAAACTAACCCCTCTCTTGTTACAAAGTTATAAATTGCAACTAGAAGCGATAATAAATAATATTATAAATGATTTTCCCCCCGTTTTAAATTATATATTCAATGTTGTTTCTAAAACCGGGTGGAAGTAAAATGGAGAAAGTTCATTACGTTCACACGATTATGAGCTAAGTCTTCATCTCGAATCGACTATTACTTCGTATCAATAATGTTTAATATGTAGTGGAACCAGTTACCGCTACAATGCCCCCGGCAGTAATACGTAAGGGGGATTTTTTTTCCTTCTCTAATCATTGCAGAACACAAGATGGCCGAGCGTAAGATAACCCTGTTTGATAAACGAGAAAAAAAGGATCGTCCAATAGATACAATTGGCTTGTCTCCACCCCACGCAGCTAGATACGACCGAACTGCTCAGCTGCCGCCTTGTGTGCTCGATCACACGCAGATTCCGCCTCCCCGCAACCGTCCAATCAGCATAGACTACGAGTAGTCAGCGAGCAAATGAGAGGCGACTGAATGATCGCTCCAGGCGCGCGCCCGACCGCTTCTTCCGCATCCAGTCCTCCAATACTACTGCGACATTCTGACTAGAAGGGTTGGGCTTTTAACGACACAGCACGAGCAGCTGGGCGCACAACGTACGCAACACGTACAGACAAACGGTTACTTCCCTGCAGGCTCCCGTTCTATATCACTTATAACTGCAGTTACGATATTTTATGTGGACACTCTACCGTGTTAACGTATTGCAGTGTTTAAGGGAAGTCACAACTACAGGTAAGTCATCAATATATTTTTTAAATTAGCCACCGATTTTAGCCGTAATTAACACAATAAATCTAATTTAACAATCGATTCTTAAGTCGTATCGATTCTATAACTCGTACAGTAAGTACCGTACGTTTGTATGTTTAAAATCGATTCTTGTAAATCGTAACAAGTTACGAATTTCTGTAGAAGTAACTGCGTAGGAGCGTAACCGGTATCGTACAGTATAGAATGATAACATTATGATAAATAATGGTTGAGCGATTTCTATTCTCCACCCCTTTAGTCTATTGGTTAATACACTATCTGACGAACTAGTATGTGTTATAAGCTTAAAACATTCCTATAAATTTTATATAAAGTATTTATACATGTACTAGTTTAAAGCTAATGTAATATTTAGCCCCTCTAACTTGATCCTTCCAGCAGTGTCACTGGACTAGAAGGTTAATCCAACCTAGTTGGAACCACATAAAATGCAGGATTTTAATGTAATTTTTAATTTATAATTAACAAATTTAAATTAAATTATTACATCTTATCATCTTTATTAACAAATCGTGAATGAGAAATTTGCATATCTTATTACTTCTATTGTTAAATGTCTATTATATTCTAGTTTCTTCTATTGTTTACGTCAGCATTCTTCTCCCCTAACAATTAACTAATTTATATTTATTCACGAAATTTAAATTAATATATTTTTTATTATTATTATTTAAAACAATTATTTTTTAAACAATACTTTTTAATTTTAAAATTGCTTTTTTACCGTTTAAATCAACAATATTTTAATAATAAACTATATAAATAAATTAATACATAAACAGAATAACTTTAATCGAATTTTAAAACATATCAAGCTCGTTTAATTCCTTTAATAATAATAATAATAATAATAATAACCCAAAAATGCTATAAATATTAAACACTTATTCTAATTAATTCTTAATTTAATATATTCTATAAATATAGTATATATATATATTTCTAACTAATTATTAAAATTAAATAATAAACAATATTTATAAATTATATTTTAATATTTTCATTTAAATTATTAAAATATTAAATTAAAAATAAAATATATTGAGAGGGGTGATGAGTATAAAATATAATAGAACTAGTGCTGCCATCTGGAGACTTATAAAAGGAATATTAATTATATATATAAAATATAAAACACTCCTCTACCCTATCAAATGCTTAAAATACTAATTTTTCTTAATTCGTTACGTGTTATAATTTTATATACTCGAAGATTTTTAAGTTATATAAGTTATAATTTAATGCAAGTCAGACTTTTATATATCTTATTTGTAAAGATAGATACTATAATATATATATATATATTATTTTTAAAAATTAAATTCGCTATATTTCTAAATAATTTATAACTGGAAGTATAGATATGTATCGTCGCATTCATTATAGAAACTTACCTTTTTTTTTCTATCAGGATATCTCGAAAGGTCTAAGCAGTAGATGAACATCAATAAATTATGATTGATCTATTGTCAAATAGGTATAACATCCGATTACAAAACCGTTCGATTCACTAATTAACAGTGATTAAATGATCCAGCTCGAATCCACTTAGTACTTTACCTTTTCTTTTTGTAATTTAAATTTAAAAAAAAAACATATTAAAAAAATAAAATTGATTTTTTTTAAGTTAAGAGTGAATTTTAGTGTGTTTAGAGTCGATTCTTCTACCCCCAGTAACACGTTATCTTAATGTATCTTCAATTGGTAGACGTGCAACAACGATTTGACTTAATGATCGACTGTTTGTATTTTTTCGAGATATCATCGAGATAAAAATCATTCTACAGTTGGGGAATCTAAAAGATAACCCTACCGAATAACTCCCATTAAATTGTATTATTTTGTTCAGAACTGAACATAACCTATGAGGCCAAACATCTGGCCCCCAAGCAAGATGGCCTCATTCCATATTAGATGGCTATCTTCTTGCACTGATAAGAATAATAATAAAAAAAAAAAAGAGGAGAAGAAGTGGAAAAAAGAAGAGATCTTCCAAAGATGGCTACTTGTTAGACACGTAAGATATATTTGGAAGAAGTGTAGATAAGATTCACCGATTTGAGTGACTTCTAACGTATTATTATAGCTGCCCTTACACCTAATTTGTTGACAGATATTCAAGTTTGATCTGTAGCCCAGTAGGCATAGAAAATTGTAGTTTTCCAACCTCTAACATTGACATAAATAACGTGAATTTGGAAACTTTTAGTCATTTTTAATTAAATTGCCACTTAATTTTTGTATTTTATAAGCATCGCACTACGTATAAAATCGAATAAAGTAGTTTTTTTTTACGATTTCCATCCCCCAATATCTGACTTCCAGGTGAAGAAACATTCTTTGAATGTAGTCAAACTGAAAGAAGTGGTACTCCAAACGTACAATTCGAACAAATATATGGAGTAGAGACAAGATAATCTGTACTTAAACAAAAATATCAAAACGTTGTACGTGTTCACGTCAAACTTGACGCTGATGATCAACCCTTGACCTTTCGACCTAACAAAGTCATGAAGCTGCGGGGGTTGAATTCAATGCATTGTTTTCAGCCGAGAAGTAAATATTCACCTCCACTTATATTGTTTGTATTGGGGCCTGATGAAAGGATGACAGAAGATGTGTAACAGCATGCAGATAACTGTCAGATTCCTGGTGAGGGATTAGTAAAGATGTTAGACCTCACGCATTCGAAATGTTGATCTTATACACCGTTTATGATTCGCATTGCTGTTTATTTGTTTTAATTTACAATGTCTTTTTAAAATATTTACATATTTATATATTAAAATAGTTCACGTTGCAGGTTTATATCCGTGTGGATAGATTAATTCACACACAATCATAAAATAGAGATTAATTTACATAAAAGTTTAAATAAGCATGTTTTTTATTTTATTTTAAAATTATTATAAATTTAATAAATTTATGAATTATTTTACGATTTAAATGAATTTTTATGAATGAAAACAATTTCTTTTGTTGAAATTGATGCTAAAAAAATCTATTTTTAGAATGAAATTGATGCTTAAAAAAATCTATTTTTAGAATGAAATTGATGCTTAAAAAAGTCTATTTTTAGAATGAAATTGATGCTTAAAAAAATCTATTTTTAGAATGAAATTGATGCTTTACAAAATCTATTTTTAGAATGAAATTGATGCTTAAAAAAATCTATTTTTAGAATGAAATTGATGCTTTACAAAATCTATTTTTAGAATGAAATTGATGCTTAAAAAAATCTATTTTTAGAATGAAATTGATTAATTTAATGCTTCTTAAATTAATTTCATTAATTTCATTTACGAAACCGATTTTAAAATATTTAAATCACTCGATAGATCATAGAGATTAGTATTAATAAAATTCTTCGATAGACACTAGTGATGTTAAAAAGGTGATGTTGGCCCAATTGCTAACGACATCTAGCGGTGATATCGAGCATTAATATTCTCTAGTCAGGTGACCGGTCACGCCCGGAAGGTTCGGAAGCCCATCGACGTCAGAAAGATGACGAAACGACATATAATAAGGGATAATACAGTAGCTATTACTCCGTCCTCGTGGATAAAGTAAGCAATTTGTACGTAGGGAATGTTTCGTTACGGTCTGCAGCACTCATCTTTTTTTTTCTGTTCTTCGTGTTTAAAAGTACTCGGAAAATTATTCCTTTTTTTTTTTTTGTTTTGTTATTACCCTGTATACAAAGTAGTAATGTCTTTAATGGTTAAAAAGTTAAATAAAAAGTTTAATATTATGAAGTACGATATATAACAAAGATTAGGTTATTGTATTATAAAATATTTTATGATATTTTCTAAAATACTTTTTTATTTTTTTATTTAAAAAAAAAACTTCATAAACTAGTAATTACTATTGCAATGCTCTGTATAGAGAGTGAATATATTTGAAAATAAGGTTAAACTATTGAAGAAGGAGATAAAATATAAGATAAAAGCAATTGTATTCTTTAATTTAACCTATTTAAAATTTAAAAAAATAATAATAAAATTCTACAAAATTACTTTAACTAAACAAAATACTGAATAGTAATTTGATAAATAGCTATTATATATGGTAAATTACTTTATAACAAAGATTATTATTCTTCTTTTAATTTAATTATAGTTATTTAAATTACAACATATTCATTTGTTTCAATTTTTATACATTAAGAAAAAAAAAACAATTTCTCATATTTTTATCATTACTAAACAATAAAACAATATGTGTCATACGTAAGTCGACCTGTCCCCTTCTTTTAGAACTGACTAGATAGATGACAAAATAATGGGTGCTGGAAGAGTTGGAGTAGCTCTATTATAAATGATTACCTTCATCACTCTTAGTCTTTTCCATTGTTACTGTTTCATATTCGTGCAACTGTTTCGTTTTTCAGCTTACTACTACTAATACAACTCCCTAACTTACTGTTATTTTGCTTATTTCGTCTGGATTATTAGTAGTTTACTGAATTATCTACACATTTTTATACATAAAATCAACGTAAGTTTTGTAATCTTCTTACTTTTAAGTACTGTCTCGAGTGCGCGTTATACGCGGTAATTTGTGGGTTTTTTTTAGAAATTTATAGTGTTTTTAATTATAAACATTTTTTAATTCGATTAAAATAAGTATATTTTTAATATAGGCCTATTTACTTCATCATAATTAGATCCTATATTAATATATTTACTTAGAATTTTGGTTAAGACAAAGCTTAAATTATTAATATATTTGTTAAGAAAAATAAATTTAATTAACAAATTAAAAATGCCATTTAGTACTTTTTTTAAATGCAAAAATTTATATTTAATTTAAAATTATAATATTAGTTTAATTTACTTTTTTTTTATAAGGTACAAATTACATTAATTTTATATAGATTTGAATAAGTTTATCCAAGTTTTAATGATTAGATTTAACAAAAGATAGAAACAAATGATGTATTTATTGTAAAAGGA